GCAGGGAGCTAACCTAAGCTTGGGGAAATGAACACTCTTATGTTTTAGGGTGAGGACCTGAGAGTGTTGGGCTTGGGCTATTTCATGAGCCCAGCTTCTTGAGTGACCCCCAACCCTGTTTCCTCATGGGAGGTTGGGACAAAGGTATACACTCTCTCCAGGATGAAGGCTTGCTCAGTTGCAAGAAGCCCCAAGAGGAAAGCACCATGCTTCTTGTACCTCTAACCATGTGACCCCAAACTTCCAGATAACTACCTCATATGGTCATAAAAGCAGCCTGGTAGGCACTTGGTCACCTAATTTAACATCTGACTTCTGGGTACCATTCCCTCCTATGAACTGGTGCCATCTGATGCGTTGCCCTTGGGATATATAATAATGACTGGGCATCACTATGTGGTTGCATTACAACAGTGTAAAGGTGACCAGTCTCCAGACACGTTTAGTGAGTTTCCCTCTGGGATCCAAGGCCTGGGAGCAATCCAGCACAGCAAGCCTGACAAGGCCCAGCCACTGGGTTAGCTTAAGAATCAGCAGGCACAGGTTGGACTTTTATTAGTAGCTTGACCAGCAGGGAACCCTTGAAATGAAAAAGAAAGACATTTGCACTTATTGAATTCTTGCATAAGCATCATAAAAACTGTGCAAGCTAGGCACTCTTATCCCTAGGAAACAATTTCAGTGAGTTTTAGAAATTTGCTGAAATCCCAAGGCTGGCAGATTCTCTTATTCCCCTGAATTAGGAAAATAATTCTGAGTTTTAATTAGGATATCTGGAGCACAGAATAAAATGTTCAAATATTAACACATGGAATCTACAATGTAAGAATAAAAACAAACCCCACAAAATCAAAATAATGTTCAAATAATGATCAGTTAAAACTTTCCAACATTGAAATATCATCCTTAATGAAATGTAAGTGATATACAGGTATGGAGGGTAAGAATACTCATAGATGATGCACTGGGTCTTGTATTTTATAGTAGCATGAAAAAAACCCTAAGCACTTTTTTTAATAAAAGGTCTTTATTGAGCAGCTGCAGTGTGTTCTGCACAGTGTTCTGCTTTTTTCAAACATTGTCTCACTTCATTTTCACGAGCCTAGGGAGATCAGTATTTTTACCCCGAATTGTGGGTATGTGATTAAAGCTTAGAGAAGTGAAATAACTTGACTAAGGTCAAATGAATGGTAAAAGGTAGAACCCCCCCTAAGCCGTTTTTAAAGATCTTTTCTTTGTGTTCACTTTTTAGAAGATTCTAAAAACACTAAAATGTGTTGCTTAGTATTACTACAAAACTCCAATTTACTCTTCTTTCTATGCCAATGTTATGGGAAAAAACCTTTACAGAGTTATTTTACCTTTAAAAGTATTTATTATATGTTTAACAATATAATTTAAGCTTCTAAATTGGTTATTCTTACTGAGAGAGCAAAAAAAACCCTACCCCCATAAAATTTGCTGCATTAAATACTTTTTATCTATGAGTAGTTTTATTTATAAAACAAACAAAACAGTAGCTCCAGCTTCATTCTCTCTCTTTTAACTACTTTTAGTTATACCAAAAAGTAATCCATTGGCTTTACTGGTTCTCTGCGGCCCCAAAATGTAGATGCTTGCCAGATTCTTTTCTTTGGTTTCTTCATCTCAGGTAAATAACCACTGCCTTCCTTGGATTTTTAGAATAAAAAGAAACAGCATTTACGCTCTGTTGTTTGAAACATTGATGCTGGCAATGCAGCTTGCATTTAACAGGAAGTGTGCTGCAGGTTCATGTGATCTCAGAGCAAGTGTAGCCTCTGCGTTCTTCTTGCCTTCCAAGGGTGCTGGGAACAGTACCGGCTCTCAAAAAAATATTTGTTGAATAATCAGTGAATATAATCCAGAGGTTTCAAACTGTTCTTGAAACTGCTCAGTGGAGATACTTTAGAGGTCTCTGCAGAGAGATGGAGTGTGGAGAGACTGAGCAGATGGAGCTCTGCCCAGCAGCTTGGCCTTCAGTCAGATGCAGAGAAGCTGCAAAGATGCTGAGACAGCCTGAGGCTGGTATTTGATGGAACTGGAAGCTGAGCTATTGGGGTTAGGGTCTAAGACGCTGTGAGCAGCAATGTTGGTCTCTTCCACTCTCACTCATCAATGTGAGGCTCTCTTTCTTTCTTTCTTTCTTTCTTTCTTTCTTTCTTTCTTTCTTTCTTTCTTCTTTCTTTCTTTCTCTCTCTCTCTCTCTCTATCTCTATCTCTCTCCTCCCTCCCTCCCTCCCTCCATCCCTCCCTCCCTTCCTTCCTTCCTTCCTTCCTTCCATGGTGCCTTACTCTGTATCTCAGGCTTGAGGGCAGTGGTGCAATCTCAGCCTGAACCTCCACCTCCTGGGTTCAAGCGATCCTCCCACCTCAGCCTCCCGAGTAGCTGGAATTACAGGCACGCACCACCACAAGCATAAGGCATTTTCTAGAAATGCAACCCAGCATCAGAAGGCCAGTTTTCTGCTGATCTTAATACAAGTTTCAATTAAACTTTCCAACCAAGAAGTGGGGTGGAAAGTTAGAATCACTTCAAAGAGTCCCTCCTTGCTAAGTTCAAATTAGTTGTCAAACCCATGCTGTTCATTGACCATCATTGACCACCTCAGCCACTGCAGAAGTTTCTGTCTTTTCTTATTATTTTCCTTCACATTAAACCTGTTTATCTGGACTTGAAAGTAGATGGTGCTCAGAACTGCCATGAGGATCACGTCTGCTCTCTTAGGGGCAGGCAGGACACAAGCACTCTGCCTCCATTTTCAAGGTCAACCCTTCCCGGTTTCTCCCTGAAACGGCTTGGATTGCAGCAGTCAGAGAGAGAAGATGCCAAAGTTATGCCACCCTGTATTTCTCTCCAGATAAAAAGAACTAATAGTATGTGTAAGAACAGCAGGGTGAATCGGCAGGCAAGCAGGAGACCCAGGAAAGCTAATGAAAGGCCAGCAGGCTTGAGACCCAGGAAAAGCCAACGTTTTTTTCCAGTCCAAAAGGAGGAAAAAGCCAATGTCCCAGGCAGAAGGCAGTCCAGCAGAAGGAATTCTTTCTTCCTTGGGGAAGAGTCTACTTTTTTGTTTTATTCAGGCTTTCAACTGATAGGATTAGGCCTACCCATGTTCGAGAAAGAAATCGGCTTTACTCCACCACCAATTTAAACGTTGTTCTCATCCAAAAACACTTTCCACAGAAATACAGAGTATGTTTGACCAAATATCTGAGCACCCCATAGCCCAATCAAGTTGACACATAAATTAACCATCACAGGCCCCGACCAGGAAATCATCTTGTCTTTAGTATTGGCTAACACTTACTTCCAGTCTACTAGGTACGGATCACTTAGCTGGGTCACAGGGATGGTAAGAAGCCTAAGATACAATCTGTTCCCACAAATGAGGAGTTTGTGATTAATTGATATCAGTCCTCTAAAATTTATTGTGATTGATGACTTTTCAAAGAAGTGGCCATTATTTCATTGGAACCTCACAAGCATCCTGTGAGACAGTCAAGGGAGGTATCCTCCCCATGGTGCAGATGAGGAAACTGATTTGGAGAAGTGAGGCGAGTTGGCCAAGAGCTCAAAGCTAATGTGAGGCAGAGCTGGGACATAAAGTCAGCCTTCTGATTCCACATCACTTCTCCTTTAGAACTTAGTCCATTCTGCCAAGCATTTACACTTCTGTCTGCCAATTCCTCGGTCAGCCCTTGAGGAAGGGCACTGTCACTCACAAACTTCTGGTCCCTCTTAGCAGTGCCCTGCATCCAGGCATTCGGCCTGCGTCTGCTGAACAGAGCTACTGATAGTCCCTTTCTCATATTAAATCTCCTATACTCTACAAGTGACCTATGAACAAGATTACAAGTCCTGAGGGTTATTGCTTAATGGGCACAGACTTTCCATTTTGCAAGATTAAAAAAGTTCTGGAGGCCAGGCTTGGTGGCCCATGGCTATAATCCCAGCACTTTGGGAGGCCGAGGCAGGTGGATTGAGTGAGCTTGTGAGTTGCAGACCAGCCTGGGCAACGAGGTGAAACCCTGTCTCTATCAAAAATACAAAAAATTAGCCGGGCATGGTGGCGCACACCTGTGGTCTCAACTACTCAGGAGGCTGAGATGGGAGGATCACTTGAACCCAGGAATTCAAGGCTGCAGTGAGCCAAGATCACACCACTGCACTCCAGCCTGGGTGACAGAGTGAGATTCACAACTCAAAAAAAGTCAAAATGTTCTGGAGACGGATAGTGGATGTGGATGGTAATGACGATTGCACAACAAGGTGAATGTGCTTAATACTACTGAACTTTACACTTAAAAATGGTCAGAATGGTAAATTTTATGTTATTTGTATTTTACCTCAATTTAAAAGAAGAGTACAGGTACAGAATACTCAATTTATTTTCATTATTGATATACTTCGTCCAGAAAATACAATAATTACCGACCACCGCTGCCATTTAGCTCATCAGCTGCAAATATTTTGTGTTCTTCTTGTGCTAACATACTTATAGACATAAAGCAGGTGGGGATATGACCCCTGTACCTTTTAGTTAGGGAGACCAGGCTAATACAAAGGAGCATGCAAAAGTGAGCAATATGAGACAAAATGTTTAAGTTGTAAATTTAGGTGTTAAATAAGTGGTATAAATAAGAAATGCCTGGACACTTAAAATACCAGATCAACTTTGCATTTATTCAGCATCTAGTATAATATAGGAGCTCTACAAAACTTAAAAAGGTCAAAGCATATAATCTCCTTTGAATTTTCAAAAGTGGTTTCCATTTAGATTCAACTTTAGAAATCCCCAGTTCCTAGGATGTGAAGCAGTTGATGGCTAGAATTTGACCTGATTGGGCCCCGGAAGCTCTTGAGGTGTCTGTTCATCAGACCATCATCTAATTTTGTTCCCGGGTTCCTTTTCTTTACTTCCTGGAAGTAGTTGATCAGGATGCTAACAAAGGATCACCTCATGGTCTCTCTTCCATAGGATAAAAGGAAGTGGAGGCTGGACAGTCACTCGGCGAATAGAAGACCTGTGGGAGCTTCATCCGTCCTTTGATGTCGTGGTCAACTGTTCAGGTCTTGGAAGCAGAGAGCTTGCAGGAGACTCGAAGATTTTCCCCGTAAGGGGCCAAGTGCTCCAAGTTCAGGCTCCCTGGGTGGAGCATTTTATCCGAGATGGCAGTGGGCTGACGTATATTTATCCTGGTACATCCCATGTAACCCTGGGTGGAACTAGGCAAAAAGGAGACTGGAATCTGTTCCCAGATGCAGAAAATAGCAGAGAGATTCTTTCTCGATGCTGTGCTCTTGAGCCCTCCCTCCATGGAGCCTGCAACATCAGGGAGAAGGTGGGCTTGAGGCCCTACAGGCCAGGCGTGCGACTGCAGACAGAGCTCCTTGTCCGAGATGGCCAGAGGCTGCCTGTGGTCCACCACTATGGCCATGGGAGCGGGGGCATCTCAGTGCACTGGGGCACTGCTCTGGAGGCTGCCAGGCTGGTCAGCGAGTGTGTCCATGCCCTCAGGACCCCCACTCCCAAGTCACAGCTGTAGATGACATAAAATGACAGCAAATAGACTGAGAGACTGTTGATCAAAACACAGAACAGATTCAAATAACTTCCACTGCATGGAAGTTTAATTAGACATTTCTTTGTTTTCAGCATTAGAAGTGGTACAACATGTAAGCTGATCACAGTGGCATGCCTAGAGTCCCAGCTACTTGAGAGGCTGGGGCAGGAGGATCACCTGAGCCCAAGAGTTTGAGTCCAATCTGGGTAACATAGCCAGACCCCACCTCTAAAAAACCCAACAACAACAAAAGAAATGGTGCAACATGTAGACTTATTTAGGAAGTCTAGTATTAATGATATAGGGCAAAAGCTCTATTTTTTTCTTAAAAATACTTCTTACAGAGTAAAGTTTCTTTAGATCTGATGTCCAAGGTCCTATGCAGATATATATGAATGTTGGAAGCTGTACAGATTTTTATATCATTTGGCTCATAAATTCACAGGAGGAGATAATGTATGAAAAACATTTAAATTGCTGTCAATTGCAGAGCTGCCCATGATCTTCTTAGGTTATAGCCAAGTCATCAATATCATTCCTCTAAATAAAATCACACAGTGATCACACAATGCAGGATTACTATGTTTAATTGAAAACAAAGCATGCTTGCTGCTAGTACTAGCGGCAACCTTTTCCTCCCCTCAGCTGGTAATGATGGTAGGAGACAGAGTTGAAGTCGCCTATGGATGTCATATCTATTCAATAGCTGCTTGGGGTCAAACACCTAAGGGTTGTACGTTCCATTACTGTAAGTGATTGAGAGCTGGTTGCGATATGGTTGGCTTTGCCTAAGCATTTCTGAAGATGAACAGCATGTGCAGCCAAAGAACTAATTTGCTAATTAAGGGGGAACAATCATTCTGAATGAAATATAATCAGAGTATTCTGTGGTTCGTTAAGTATTGGGAGGAGGGGAATGTGTCTCACAATAAAATGAGTTGGAATTGTTGAGTTAAATGAATTTAACCTGATTTTTGACTCAGACTTACTCAGAGCCTTTAATGTGTACATGTATATTATGAATCCTCTAGAAGGTTTGGGTGGATGGAAAAGGACATGCTGTATTGAAGTAAAGAGGCTTGAGGAGGCTGGGCGTGGTGGCTCATGCCTGCAATCCCAGTACTTTGGGAGGCTGAGGTGGGTGGATCACCTGTGGTCAGGAGTTCAAGACCAGCCTGGCCAAAATGGTGAAACCCCTTCTCTAAAAAATACAAAAATTAGCCTAGCATGATGGTGGGTGCCTGTAATCCCAACTACTCAGGAGGCTGAGGTGGGAGAATAGCTTGAACCCAGGAGGCAGAGGTTTCAGTGAGCTGAGATCGCACCATTACACTCTAGCCTGGGCCACAGAGCAAGACTCTGTCTCAAAAACAAACAAAAAAACAAAACAAAGAGGCTTGAGAAAGGGATTTAATTTTAATTTGGGGGGAAGACGACTTCTGTTAAATGATGCAATAAGATACATTTTGGACATCCAGAGTGAGATATAGGGTTGCCGATGAAAGCGTGGGAAAGAGAAAGTTCTCAGCACAGTTACAGCGCTACTGCTGTGTTCACCCAGAACTTGTATATTATTTTGTTTGCAGAGAACATTCTGCTGGTAGACAGTGACAGAAGCCCACCAGTGTTTTATGTGATCATAATCGTTCCCTGCAGTATTAATATTCTCAAGTAAAATCAAGTGTGGGATCTTTTCTATGGATTTCCACCAGGGGGTGGTGTTGTATCAGATTCAGATAGATTGGTACATTCAAAAATTTAAAAATGACTAGTAATAAAAGATGGACAGGTGTATAGAGTGTGTGTGTGCTTCTTTTGAGGTTTTGGAGTTTATATATCCCAAGTGAAATTCTTCTGAATTCTGTTTTAAGCATTTGAGAAATGTATAAGTTTAGACAGACTGAAAACACATGCCTCCTACATAATCTGTGAAAAATAAAATGTTATGATAAAACGACATTTTTAAAAGAAGAAAATAATTTTTAATAGTTAAAATTGCAGGATACTATTCAGAACAGGTAGAATTTCAGTCATTTCGCAGCAGCTTTGAGTGTGCTCCTTTGTTCATTACGCCTGTGGTTTAGATCCTGTGGCATTTCTATTGTGTGTAGTGGGCTCACACTATGACCTTTGCCTATTTGCTACTCTAGTTCAGCTTCACTCTGCATTTTATATTTCTTTTTCTTTTTATTTTTTGAAACGGAATTTCACTCTTGTTGCCCAGGCTGCAGTGCAAGGGTGCCATCTCAGCTCACTGCAACCTCCACCTCCCAGGTTCAAGTGATTCTCCTGCTTCAGCCTCCCAAGCAGCTGGGATTACAGGCATTTGCCAACATACCTGGCTAATTTATATTTTTAGTAGAAATGGGTTTTCTCCATGTTGGTCAGGCTGGTCTCGAACTCCTGACCTCAGGTGATCTGCCCACCTCGGCGGCCCAAAGTGCTGTGATTATAAATGTGAGCCACTATGCCCAGGCTGCATTTTATATTTCTAAAGCACAAAGCTACAAGAATGCAAGATTGGAGGCTTCTTGAGAAAGTGGTCATGGCTGCATGTCCTGATTTCATTTTCACTAATTGCTAAATATTTGTTCCCATTGTCTCTGAAATATTATTCATTTTGGTCAGCAGCTGCCAACCCGGGCTGTACCTTAGAATCACCTGGGAAGTTTTTAAACAATGTTGATGCCCAGCCCTGCTTTATGAAATTAGAATCTTTGGTGGGTGGGGCAGAGTTGCTGCATCACTGTTTACTTAAAGCTGTCCTCAACGTTCTAACTGAAAGCCAGGGCTGAGAAGCACTGAGCACTTCTTCCCTCCTCTCCTCCTAGGCCCCCGCCGCTAGTGTCACCATTATCCTTCCCTTCCTTCCTCTCCATCGTGGTGCATCAAGCTCAGAGGGATGTGCTCACTCAGGCAGCTGTATCCTTAGGCACTTCTGGGCAGGGTGGCCTAGAGGAGTTAGCTGTCTCCCAAAGTAATTCTCCAGAAATACTGGAATCACCTTGCTGGCTATCGGTCAGCTGCTCAAGACAGCTATCTGTCTTCATCTGAAAGACAAGAGACTAAGCATACAAATGGGCAATGGCTAGGCTATATAATATATAAAAATAGAACTCCAGACCACAAGCTGTAGCAACCTGCCCAGGAAACCAATTCCCTTATCTGCAGTAAATAACACAAGAAGCCAGCCTGCTATGTGAGTATATCAGACTTGCAGGAAGCCAGATTGCTATCTCTGGAAATAATCCAGAAAGATAATAACTTGTGTAACAATTGGCACAAAACAGCCAGGACTTAATAATTGACAGCATCCCTAATGTTTGCCCCCACTTCTAACTTAGAACAAATCAGAGAAAAACAATGCGTTTGCCCCCACTTCTAACTTAGGACCAACCACACAGGATGCTCTGCTTCCAGTTAACTCACCTACAGAGTCCCCATGCCGATCGGGACGTATGTGAAGTCTTCTCTTTGTTCTTCTGTGAAGCTTTCTCACCCCTCTGCCTACCTTTGAATCTCTGCCAAATGTAAGTGTGGTGGGCTGACTCCCTTGCCATAGTAGAATCTAAAGAAATAGCTTTGCATTTCTCATTTAACTGGTATATCAGTCAGGGTTCTCCAAAGAAACAGAACCAGCAGGACATATGTAGACATAGAAAGAAATTTCTTATGAGGGTTGGCTCACACGATTATGGAGGCTGAGAAATCCCATGATTTGCTGTCTGCAAGCTGGAGGCTCAGGAGAGCTGATGTAGTTCTAGCCCAAACCTGAAGGCCTGAGACCCAGAGGGGCCAGTGGAGTAAGTCTGAAGGCAATGGTGCTGATGTCCAGGGACAGGAGAAGACAGATGTCCTAGTTTAAACAGACAGCAAATGTGTCCTTCCTCACCTTTTTCTTCTATTCAGGCCCTCAACAGATTGGATGATGTCCACTCACATTGGTGAAGACAATCTCCTTTACTTAGCTTACTGATTCAAATGCTTATCTCTTCCAAATATATCCTCCTGTATACACCCAGAAATAATGTGTTTGCCAGCTAGCTGGGCACCCGTAGCTCAGTCCAGTTGACACATAAAATTAACCAATACAGCTGATCTTCATTTACTTCAAAGATTTCAATGTTTATATAAGTTGAGGTCTTCCAGGGTGATCAGGGCTACTGCCTGAGAATAGACTGCTTTTTTTTTCTTTCTTGTTTTCTATTTCAGAATATCTTTTATTTTTTTTTCTGAACATAGAGAACAACTGATTTCCTTCTTAAATCTCTGCTTTCAAGTGTCTGGCCTTTGTGGCTGAGTGTCTGCCTGCTGTGTCTGTGACCCAGAGGAATGAGGCTGCTTTGAGCTCTGTCATTGCCTGTGTGCTGCTTCAGTAGGTAAAGGTTATGCACAAGCACAAACTTTTAGGATCTTTTTTAAAGTTTTGGGATTTTATTTGCTTAGGAAGAAATAAAAAAGTTAAACAGAAAGGCCATAGCCCGGTTGGACACAGTTGTATAGAAGAAAGGGCGTTTTTAAAAATGACATATATTCTTCCTTCATTGAATAATGCATTCAAATCAACTGATATTTGAACCAGTTTTTCTCAATCAATTAAAAGCTTTCAGAAAAAAGGAACAAAAGAACGGTGGATCCTGTGTCCACTGGGAGTTGTAGTTCTTAGAAACCTGTTCCAGGACTTTCATAACTTGTCAAATATTTGAAATGAATGTAGCGTTTTTTATTTCTCTCATCTTTCTTCTTGAGGGTATGAATGATGGAGACACATTTGAAACCTGCTTCCTCAGGATATCATTCACTCAAGAAAAGCCAATTGAGATATTTAAGCGGTCCCTTTCTTCTTGAAAAATCTCAGCAGTTTGCCACCAGACCTGGGAGTTTTATTATCCTAAGTGACTTTGCTGCCTATAAATCACAGCCCTAAGTAGCCAAAGGGAATGAGTTAACCAGATCTCTTATACATATAAGCAATGTTTCTTCAATTATTAGCAGAACAATTGACTTCCGTCTACTCGGGGCACCTGTCAACCTGGCCTGCAGCCATGATTCCCACAATTCCACCTCCCAGAGCCTTGAATTGTCATTTTTGTTCCCCTTGAATTATAATTTCTTATACTGGTGCATGTTCTATGGTATGAGCCCATTCCCCAATTTTTTCATGTATCACAGTGTTTCTCTTCCTTGCAGCCCCAAGTCGTCTGGCAATGGAACTCAACCATCGTGGTTGAAACTCTACATGGTCCTCCTCTTCTGCCCAGGCCTCCTTTCCTGGGAAATCTGCTCAGGCCTGTAAGAATCACTGTGTGGGGAGTATCCCACAGGCCCTACCTCTCTGGTCACAGCTTATTGGACCAGAGAAACTGTCAGGTTTAGGCTCTGTTGCAGGTAACAGAACCCCCCTAAATATTTGCTTAAACAAGGTGGGCATGTATTTCGCTCACATAAAAGAAGCCTAGATATAGGCAGTTTAGGGCTGTTGTTGGGGTCTCCAGTGGTTATCAGTGATCCAGGCTCCTTCCAGCTCATACTATGCTATCTCAAGGTTGTGGCCCTTTGTCATGTCCACCAGGGCAATCAGAGCTCCAGCTATCACATCATTATATCCACCCTCCAAGGACACTTCCCAGAAGGTTCACATAATATTTTTGCTTGTATTTTACTTCACAGGATTTAGCCTCGGGATTACACTGAGATTTAAGGGAAGCTGGGAAGGTAGTCTTTGGTCTTGGTGGCAATGTAAAAGTCAAGGTTTTAGCAGGCTTTGCAAAAGTATCAAAGTATAAATTGAGTTAGGCCAGTGTTCGGGCTCAGAAACCGAAACCCCAGAATATGGCAGTTTGACGTGCTGAACTGAAGATGTCTCAAGGTCTCTCTCATATCTTCTACCCCGATCCTCTGTCTCTCCCAAAGCACAGAATGTAGCTGCTCTCTGAAGTTCCCTTATCTGCCTAAAG